TTTATTTCCTTGTTTGATTGTGGTTATGTTTTGTATTGCTTTCATTAATACAGGTTTGCTCTACATAATGAATACATTTGTGATGAATTGGTGCATTGCATGTATAGAATAGAAAATAGGCCCTACCTGGTGCATTACATTTTGGTCTATCAACTGTAGATTGCTTTCAAAGTGGTATCTATAAACAAACAGTCCCTGTCCCTAGACATTACAACCTCAGGCCTGAATCTGTCTAGAGTGGCTTTTACTTTATGGCAAGAACAGGGGGTATCAATATGAGAGCCTAGCATCATCTGGCCAGGGTGGGGTGGGGATGTACAGTCAGGGAGGGAGCCCAGAACAGCCCAGTGCAGGTCAGGAACTGTGGGCCATGTGTGAAGACTGATAAGATGGTTTGTACAGCTTTCATGGGCACAGACTTAGGCATGGGGCTGTGTGCAGCTCCTACACCTTGGGAAAGATTCTTGGGGATAGAGCAGGACAGATCTCACTGGGTTGGGCTTGTCCTGCTCCCTGCCTAGCTGACCGTGCTCAAAGGTGAGAAAGGAGTGGGGTCTCTGCACATCAGGGGAGTGTGGGAGGGAGGTCAGGGCAAAGCCTGTGGTCACCATGCAGGCTGCAAGGCCCTGGTGACCTCTCAGGGAGAAGCACCCTGCTGGCATTGTCCACACCCCTCACCAGAGCTAACAAATTGACCCCAGTCCTAAAGGTTGATACCTAGACATAGTGGTTGATTTAAGAGTTTGTTTTTTCCAAACTGACACTGGAAATCAGTGTGGAGATACCTCAGAAAACTAGGATTGAAAGTCCCATTTGACCCAGCTATTCCCCTGCTGGGTATCTTCCCCAAAGATTTAAAAGAATCATACCACAGTGATATATGTGCACCATGTTCAGAGCAACACAATTTTTAAAGCTAAAACTTGGAAGCAGCTCAGTTGCCCAACAACTGGAGGCTTAAAAAGAAACTGTGGGGTTTTTTTCTTTATGAAATAGAGGTACTACTCAGCTTTAAAAAATCATAAATTAGAGGTATTTATAGCTAAATGGTTGCACATTGATTTGATACCCTTTTTGCTATTAAAATACATTTTATTAACAAGAATGGGCCACAGTATAAAAGACCTAATTTTTTGCATCACCTTTTTTTCAGGTGCAGAACTCTGTACAGATAAGCAGACTTGTTCCTGAGAAGAGGTCTGTGAACCATTAAAGCCAAACACAGGCCCACATCACATAAGGTGGTCACCATTTTACTTCCCTGTCCACCGTTAGGCTCTTAGGAAAGGATTCAGCCATGCTTATGTCACCTTCAGCTGTTCAAGAGTGCCAGAATTAGAAAGGACAGGACTGTGAAGCTTAAAGAAAAAGTTCCTCCCTGAACAACTCCAAGAAGCCAGGGAGCAGATCCTGGCTGGAGCTCTGGATTATTTTCCCCTCAGAGCCACCTGTTTTCTTGAGGCCAGATGGTACTATGAGGACCCTGCCCATCACCCTTCTTTAGCTGGGAGAAATGATGAATTTCAGGGAGAGGAAATGGTTCTCTATCCCCTTTAGAACTTCTGTAAGAATTTGAGGACAGGGGCCCTCAGTCATACCCTCAACATCTCATCATTGTCACAGATGATGTGGGTTGAATCTTCTTCAATCTGTATGAGCATTTCCACTTCCTGGAGCAGGACAATATGGCCCTTGGGTGTGTCTTCCACCTTGATATCACTGAAGCCGTGCTTCTCCAGGGTTTGCACAAACTGCTCTATGGGGATGGAGCCACTCAGCATTGGCCTCAGCACTTTGCAGTCTGGAAAATCATTGGTCACACTCTTTCTCTTTTTATCACTTGCAGGCTGCACAGGCCTAGGAGGGGGCTGAAGCACATGCTTGTTGTCTTTTGTGTGCATCATGGCTAAGATAGTTGCCAAGGAGATGCCAGGCTTGATCTCCAGGGGCACCAAGGAGTAAGTCAGCAAGCTCAGGCATGATTTCAATCTTCTCATACCAATGCTTGAAGGGCCGAGGCAGGACCTCGGCTTGCCAGTAGGACATGGGTAGGGGCTGGCAGTTGATCATGAGGTCCATCCTTTGTGACTGGGCTGGGGGCAGCTGGGTGTACTGCTCAGGACAGACCAAGTACAGGGGCTGCACTTCTTTAAGCAGCTTGAACACCTGGATGAAGTTGAGGTGTGTGTCGATGGGGCAGTATATTCATTTCATGGCCAAGGGCTAATAGGGAGCCAGTGCTTCCAGGTAGGAGAAGTCAGATTCTGTAAATATGACAGTGTTGAGACTAGATTTTCCTCCAGAGCTCCATGAAGTGGACCATGTCCCCAAACCAGAGCCAAGGGTGCCTGGTGGACATCACACACGGCTGCCAGAAGTTGTTGCTGAAGTCTCCATGGATGCTGGGGTAGTGCTTCAGATTGTTGGTCTGAATGAGCTCTGCATGAGGAAAAGGCTCTGGGAAATACACCTTGCTCTGTTTGTTGTGACAAAGTCATTTGGCAAAAATCCAGGAGAACTCCAGGGAGCTGTTAGCCACTGGGGAGATGAAGTAAAAGGGGATGCTGGAGAGGCTGGCCAAGTTGATGTACTGGTACAGGCACTCCAGGACATCATAGATCACTCCAGAAGGGTAGCAGGGAACCAGCATGTTGACCCCATTCTGGACTGTCAGTGCCAGGTTGCTGCAAAACTCTCCCACCATGCCATCAGGGTTTGCAGTGGGGATCTGGGTAAGCCCTGTCAGAGCAAGAACATTGCTGTTTTTGAGAGAAGCTTGGTCCATGGGAACTGTATGTCATTATTCTTCCACAAGGAGGCAGACAGAGTCTTTGGCACTCTCAATTAAATTCATCAGCTCTTCCATGAGAATCCTGCCAATCTGGACATCAGGCTCCATAGCATACACTGTGCCTGTGAATCCCATGTGCTCCATGATGTAGGACAGCACCACCGTGCAGTGATAGAGATGAGAATTACATCTACTGTGGACAGGTCAATTATCTTAGTCTCTGCTAAGCAGAATTTAGGCACAGAATCCACAAATATCTGACCTGAGCACTCCTTTAACTCCTTGTCTAAGAAAGCATTTCCATCCTCCAGGGACCAGCCAGGAAGATTACACACCCTGGACAGTTTCATATAGGACTTTTAGATGTTCAATGTCAGTCTCACCACTTCTTGAGCCCTGGAGGCATCTTCCCTGATTTGATACTCTTAAGTGAAATAAATAGGATACACATGTGTAAATACCACATAGTTTCTGAAGTGTGAGAAACTGAAAGTGTAAGTAAGCACTAAAAGATATAATAGATCATGTCAAATAGGATAGAAAGGGGTAAAAGGGAAGGGGAAGTGGAAGGGCTTGGGGAAAGGAAAGGGAATGGGATACATATGAGAAAATTAAAAATGGAAACAAAGTCTTTGTAAATAGGGAGGGATGGAGAGGTTGAAGGGAGGGCAGGGGAATAGGGAAAAAATAACCAAGAGAGATTATGCAAAGGTGCAAATTTCCAATGATGCATCTCATATTGTATACCTAACATGTACCCACAAAATCCATTTTTTAAAAACTGCTTAGTGAATCCTGTTGAGGTGGTGTAGACCTATAATTCCAGTACTCTGGGAGGCTGAGGCAAGAGGATTAGAAATTCAAGTCCATTTTGAGCAAATTAGCTACTTACTGAGATCCTATGACAAAATTTAAAAAATATTAAATGGGATGGTGATGTAGTTCAGTGAGAAGGTCCCAGATTCAAAGCTCAGTAATGTAAAACAAATTACTGATTTGTAAAGTGCCTTAGTCAAGAAGATTCTGCAGGGTCTAGGTGCAAGACTAGACTGATCCCGATTAGGAACTTCAGCCCTTGGTATTCAGTATGTTGTGAATGTTTTAAAATGTTATATTTTAAAAATAAAATTTAATGGTATATCTGGATGGTAATCTAGAGAAGATGTGTCCATTTCACATAGGAGTGGTTGGGCAGCACTGTGTTGCCCCTCTGTCCTCTAATATATGACAAATGTTAGCTATGGAATGCTCCCCTGACCCCTGGATTCCTGTAGAGCTGCATGTCCCAGAGGTCACTGGGAGCTGAGTACCCTTGGTTCTGAGTGTTCGTTCTACCACATGGAACAGGCAGATGTTAGAAATATGAGTCTGACCCTACCCATGCAACCATGACTGTGATGCAGTGCCACCACCTGCAGGAGTCCATCTTTTAAAAATGAGGTTTAGAGATACAAATTTTTCCTTTTGGCTGTTTCATGGGCATGAAAATCTGAAAAAAATGACTTGACCAGAGGTTGCTGAGACAACAGTGTCATTGAACCATGGAATATGCCAAGGGATAGAGCATGAAGAGGTCATGTCCCCATTGTGTACATGAGATGACAGGGAAGCTGTGGCCTGACACCTGTACCCAGCATGTGAAACACATAGCCTGATCACTGAGACACGGGGAAAAGGAAGGACTCTGAGGGAGGCCATGGTTCCTGGTAGGATGACTGATGATGTCCTTTTATTCTTCATTCAATGTTGCACCAATTAAAAACTGTCTTGTCTGACAAAAACAAGGGTATAATTTACTGAATAGGTGAATGAAAAATTCATAGGATCTATGTAGGATTTTCCTTACTATGTAAAGCAAGATTCATGAGTCTCTTCCAGGCCAAGGAGAAATCTGATTGCACTGAGCTAAAAACTGTAGAAAAATGTAAATTACAGGGACATAAGAGGAGTGGTGGCCAGGGACTAGCAGTGAGGGAGAGGGGAGGAACCACTCATGGGTGCAGCACTGAGGAAAATGCTCTGGACCTGGACAGAGGTGTCATATTCACTGCACTGAGAAGGCACTTCATGCCACCAAGCCGATCATATTAAGCAACAGTAAAATCTTAGCTTTTATTTAAAAATCACTCCATTATTAACATAAATCCAGAAAATAAGTGCAAAAGTAAAGAACAGAACATGAGCAACAGTAATGGAGGGGAGTGGCAGGTGTGGGGCAGGAGCTGGCCCTAAGGGGAGGTCAGGAGCTGACACCTGCTGAGGAGCCACCATTTGCCCCAGCTGTGCAGCTGGAGAAGAAGGGATTCCTGGTGCTTGGTATGTCTGTGGTGCCAGAGCTGGGGATGCAGCTGCAGGTGGAACTGGCATGTGCTCTGCTGATGGGTCTTCAGCTTGGGCTGGAGCTGACCCTACAGCTACAAGAGTAGAAAAGTTCACCAACAGTCCATGTTCCTTCCTGGGGCACAATGTTCCCACTGCCTGTCAGAGAGCTCTGTGTAGGAAGCCTCCAGCAGGAAGTCCCTTTCCACAGACTGTACATGCCCACTGGAACCAGTGTCTCACTGGTCCTGAGTCACCCCATTCCCATTTGACCTCTCTGTGTTCAAAGTCCCATCCCTGCCCCATGCCCACAGGACAATACCCTCCTGCTCCTTATCCTTAGGCTCTGCCTCAGTGGGCTCCTCTTTCTCCAGCTGGTCCAGGAGAAGTTTGGCAGTGTGATGCATGTGGGAGAGCAGCTCCAGCAAGGAGTCAAGGTCAGAGGGCGTGGAGCTGTGGAAGTTAGGTAGCAGGCAGAGAAGCTGAGCCTTTGCTCCTAAACTATTTTCCCAGGACACCTGAGCCCCCTGCCCAGTCTGTCCATTAGTAAACCCCACCTGCTCCCTACACCTGATGTAGCAGTCCTGCCCTGGAGCCCTGTGAGCCTGAGAGAAGGCTCCATGTGAGAGAGCCCTTGTTCAGTGGTGTTACACCCTTTGCCTTCTTCAGAGCAGACTGACCCCATGAGTCCATGCCTATTCCCACTGTCAGCTCCATGAGGACAGAGTCTTCTCTCTGCTGTGTGGTTGTACTCAAGGGCATAGGGCTGCTGCTCCATAACTACCTGAGAAGTGAGGGATAGTAGGTGTCTGTGCTGATCTTTCTCTCCTCAGGCTGTAGCTCATGTAGCCAAGGTTTCCTCAGTGTCTGTACCTCTCCTGGACTCCTCTTGCACTGCTGCTTATCCACAACTAGTGAAGCCAGTTGAGGAAAATACTTGCTGTGAGGTCCAAGGTGAATGTAAGGAGCCTAAATAGCATTAAAATCCAAGAAGGCAGTGCTGTGGTTATTGGATCATGGTCAGTGCCTGGAAAAGTGTCTGTGCCTAGTGTGTTTGCATGTATGTTCATGAGGTGATGTACTCATCTGCTGTTGCATGATGTCTGAGTGGGCCTGGGACCTATGTATGCCCAAGGATTGCTGCTGTGGGACCACTCTGAAGCCCATAGAGTGACTCTTCAATCTTTAAAATGACAAGAACAAATTTCCCCAAGTGCAGGACTCAGTGAGAGGGAAGCTCAGCTTCCCACTGGGGGTGGAAGATCATCTGTGTGAATCAGCATGGCTGCTGTAGATGGTCTTCCCTGGGCCCAAGGCCAGGGTCAACCCTTACCATAGAGGCTGCATTCTATCCCACAGCCATGATGTGGGCTTGATTTTCCCAGTACTCCATTGCTCAGAATTGCAAGTGAGGCTGAGAGGGACTTGCACCTTCTCAAAATTTCAAGCCATAGTGGCCAAGTCCACTGGGTTGGTGAGAGAAGAACTCACCTTCCCACCATCCCCTCCTGTGGGGAAGAAATGCAGGCCTTTCTGGGGTCCAGGAAGGAGGGCCCATTGATGAGCCAGCTATCCAGGAAGGCCCACCCCGGGGCCTCCCTCAGGGTGTCCTGCATTCCTGCCTGTGCTGTCCTCACTGTGCAGACCTCTGCCAGGCTCTGGGCCACCTGATTTCCAATCTGTGAGGGGACTGTGGGGGGACATGGAATTGGCGTCCCACCCATGACTCATCAGGAGGGATGGAGGATTAAGCCTTGATCAAACTCTGAACTGTCCATAGTGGCTTCTACCAGGAAGGCACAGGAGTATCGTGGAGAAAGTGAGCCACATATCAGAGTTAAATTTCAGAAGGGACACCTAGAAATACTAGCCTTTTAGCACAGCTTGTTAGCTGAGGAGAGGTTGTGTGTAACTCCATACATTACGAGCAACATCCCATGGGTCCTGAGACCCCTCCCAGGGTAGAGATGAGGAATCAGCCACATGGATGCCTGGGCCAGGAGTTACAGTGAGGTGAAATGGCTGAATGCAATCATGGCAGGATTGAAGTGACACCTTGTCCACATCCTTTTCTTGGGTCTCCTCCAGCATGTGGATGGTGACCTTGCCCCTGTTCAATATTAAGACTGAGCAGAGAGGATATGGACATTGGTGACATGGGACCCAGATACCTTTGGGAGCAGCACCCTTGCCCACTGTTACCAAGTCCTGCAGGGAGGAGGTGAAGGTGTTGTCTGTCTGCAAGGGGCCTCTCTGTCCCCCTGTGACCTTAGTACAGAGTCCCCTCTGCTCACACATACACACACCCTGGGGCTGAGCTGTCACCTGTTGTTATTTTGGCCCAGTGTGTGTCACAGGCACATGGCACACAAGCCCCAGTGACAGCTCCAGCCTGATGTCCTGATGTCCTATGTGCAGCTCTGGTGGGACAGTGTCCAGCAGCTGGCAGACAGCATGAGGCTCTGCCTTGTCACAGTTTGTAGTGTTTTTG